CCCAGCCACTTGAGCCACAGGTGCTGAGCCAGCTATGTTTTTAGAGATGGGAAGTCTCACTCTTGCTCAGGCTGGTCTTGAAATTTTGAGCTCTGGCAATTTACCCGTTCTGGCTTCCTAAAAGCCTAGCTTTAAAAGTGCTAGGATTACAGACATGAAACACTGTACCTGGCCATAGACATTTTTTAAAAATTTAATTCTTACAATTACCTTTCAAGTAGGAATTAGGAACCATGTGTTATTAAACAAAACAAAACCTGAATGTTACAAGTAAAACAATTTTTCCCCAAATTTACTTTAGTCATGGAGAGATTCTAAGAGAAATCTGAGCTTCATTATATTCAGAAAAGGTATTGCTAAGTTTGTTTAAAGTAAAACTAAACAATTTCACAATAACATAAAAAACAGCAATAAAACACCTTAATTACGGGGAAAATGGAAACCTACCTTATCTAACACGTCGTAAGCTTTACTAAGGAGAGCTCGCCAAAACTTCACGGTTAGTTGGTCTGCATTTTTTTCCATGGACTGTGCTACAGTGTTGATATATCCAAGAATAGTTTCTAACAACCTAAAATACAGGAGACTCATTCAGCAAACAGGAGCTCACAGCATTTAAAGAACTCACTCATGTCTCTTATGCTAAATGTTTAAATTAAATAATTTTGTACAAAATTACAGCAGAGCCTCTGTTAAGCTGACCACCCAAGGGACTCTAACTAATTGGTCAACATAAGGAACTAAGCCTGCTGTATGTACTGATATGTAAATGTGGTACATGGTCAGTCTATGAAAATTAGGTCAATTTAAGAAGGTGATAGTCAGCCATGGAGGTTCTACTGTATTTCAAAAACTGTGTAGAAAGAAAAGCCGGGATCATCACCATAGAGAAATGTCACCAACAAGCAAACAGGTGCCTCTGTCCAGAAGGACACTTATTATTTAGGCTCTTGGAGGTGCTAAATCAGCAACAGTGAGTCTGACCGTGTTGTCCAAGTGGGGTGTTCAGGGCGTTATGGCCCTAGATTAACAGTAGCTGCTCACACCCCACACACCACTCAGACCGAAGGGGAATAAACACATAACCCATGTCTTTGACATTACTAGGAGACCGAAGACTACAAACTTCAAATAACATGTAATTAGAAAAGTATACACCATATGGGCGGCACCTGTAGCTCAAAGGAGTAGGGCGCCAGCCCACATGCCGGAGGTGGCAGGTTCAAAACTAGCTTCAGGCTCGGTGCCTGTGGCTCAAGTGGCTAAGGCGCCAGCCACATACACCTAAGGTGGCGGGTTCGAATCCCCAGCCCGGGGCCGCCAAACAACAATGATGGCTGCAACCAAAAAAAGGCCGGGCGTTGTGGAGGGCGCCTGTGGTCCCAGCTACTTGGGAGGCTGAGGCAGGAGATTCGCTTGAGCCCAGGAGTTGGAGGTTGCTGTGAGCTGTGATGCCACGGCACTCTACCCAGGGGGATAGCTTGAGGCTCCGTCTCAAAAAAAAAAAAAAAACCAAACAAAACTAGCTTCAGCCAAAAATTAAAAGAAAGAAAAGTTTACACCACAATTCCAACACACTGGCGCTCCCCCACCACTGCCAGCCCAAAGTGGGGAGAGAGAGGGAAGAGGAGAGATGGAACTTGACACTAGATAGCAGAGGGCACAGAAAAAACCACCCTGGGAATGGAAAGCCCTTCACATAGTGCTGAAAGCCTGGCCCAGGACTAGCACCTGGCAGCTCACAATACTGGATACAGGGCAGGATGGTGGCCAGGGAAGGCCAGGCTGCCGGGAAGAAGGTGGAAAGCAAGGCCAGGAAGTGCCCTGTGTGGTCGTGAAGGGAAAACAATTCTGCGTCCAGATACACAACAGCAACATGCGGATTATAATTCACTGCACAAAGTACGTGTTCATGACCCCATTCAGAACTGGGCCAGAAAGACACCGAAAAAGAAAAAAATTGTGGTATAAAGGACATCACCGGGATAACTGGGGAGACTGGAATAAGAAATGTAGATCACAGCATTACATCAATCCAATGTTAAATTTTCTTTTCTTTGAGACAAAGTCTCCCTCTGTTGCTATGGCAACAGCTGAAATCAGCAACCTCAAATCCTAGGTTTATTTTATTTTTTATTTTTTTATTAAATGATAACTATGTACATTAATGCAATTCTGGGGTACAGTGTGGTGTTTTCACAAAATTCCTAGGTTTAAACAATCCTCCTGTTTCACCCTCCCGTGGAGCTGGGACTACAGGCTCCCATTACCATGCCCGGCTAATTTTTCTATTTTTAGTAGAGACCAAGTCTCACTCTTGTTCAGGCTAGCCTCAAACTCCTGACCTCAAGGGATCTTCCTGCCTTGGCCTCCCAGAGTGCTAGGATTACAGGAGTGAGGCACTGCACCCCGCCTGAATCAATGTTAAATTTTCTCAATTTGAAAAATGTACTGTGGTATTATAAGAACATCCCTTATTTTTTAATGTCATGATGTGTATGACTTACTTTCAATAGCTCAGAGGAAAAACACACAGGTAGAGAGAATGATAAGGCAATGTGGCACAAGTATTAACAATTGGTAAGTATGGTTGTAAAGAGTTATGTGAATTTTAGGTACTATTATTCCAGTTTTTCTGCAAGTTTGAAATCGTTTTCAAAGAAAAAGTAAAAAAAGAAAAGTAAACATACCTCTCTTCGAGGCCTTTTAAAATCTGAGGACCACCACTTTCAAGTACCTAATTTTTAAAGAAGGCATTATTAGAATAGTATGAAAGCAGATGGAAAAAGTCATCTGAAGTTAGTTAAGTAAACTCAAGATTATTCACTCAAACCTCTAATAGCAAGTATTTTCTTTTTTCTTTTTTCAAAACAGGGTGTCGCTTTGTCACCCAGGGTAGAGTGCTGTGGCATGAGCTTAGCTCACGATAACCTCAAACTCCTAGGCTCAAGCAATTCTCTTGCCCCAGGTTCCTGAGTAGCTGGGACTATAAGCACACCCCACTATGTGTGGCTGATTTTTTAAATTATTCATAGAGATAGGGTCTCACTCTTGCTCAGGTTGGTCTTGAACCCCTGACCTTAAATGATCCTCTTGCCTTGGCCTCCCAGAATGGCTAGAGAGCCACCAGACCCAGCCTGGAAGTTTTTTTGAGAAAAAATAATCAGCAAGGTTTGTATGAAGTAATTTTTTTTTTTTTTTTTT